GAAAATGGGTACCACGAGCATGCACTCCAACCATCTTTCTAAAGCAACAAGCAAGAAAGTTGATTAGTGTGATGGTGCTCGGGTCCCAACTGAGATATTTTTTTTAATAATTTATTAAAATCGGTAAGATATAGTTTCTAATAAATAATTTTTTTTAGAAAAAAATGAAAAATCTTAGTCAAAATTAAAATCAATTGTAGAGATAATTAAGTGTATTATTAATCCTCATGTCATCTTTCTTAAAATATCTTATTTCAAACTCAATAAAATATCTTTTTTCTAAAAAAATCATACTATAATTAAATTAATAATAACTATTTCACCGTTTAGAAAAATAAATATTAATATTTTTAATATTAATATATATATAAAATGATTAATATAAAAAATATTTATTTTTAAAAGGGATGAAATCGTTAGTCATAAATAGTCCCTAAACTTTTAACTTAATAACAATTTGGTCCCCATTATTTATTTTTATATAAATATATGAATTTTTAAATTAAGAATCTAAATTATTATATATATATATATTTTTTTAAAAAAAGACACAAATAATGAATTAAAAAATATATTAATTGACAGAAATAAAATAATTTGAAATGAAAAATAAATTGGGAGAGTAGAAAGGTGAAAGTTAGGAAGGCAATTCGAGTTTCAGTAGACATCACAATCCTCAACTCGATTCTTAACCTTCTCCGAACCAACGCCTTCTCTTTCTCTCTCTCTTTCTCTTCAAAATCCCAATCCCTTTCCCTGTTCATCTTTCCCGGAAAATCGCTTCAATTTTCTCTCCAAGATTCCTCTCTTCTCCCTCATCTTCTTCACTGTCCTCACAAATCCTGACTCTCTGTTCCGATTCCGGCTTCTCTTCCTTCAAGAAGGCTTTGTTGGAACACAGTTCAGTTTCCATGTCTTTGAGGAGTATAATCCAGGAAATGAGATCCAGGTCCCGCCGTGTAGTTCAGGATGGTTCGACGGCTGAAGTCGGCGATGGTTTGGCGCAGAGCTGTTGGACTTACATGCCTCAGGAGTTGTTGAGAGAGGTTTTGGTTAGAATCGAGAGCTCTGAGAATGTTTGGCCTCTGCGGAAGAGCGTAGTGGCCTGCGCCGGAGTTTGCCGGAGCTGGAGACGGATTACTAAGGAGATTGTTAAAACTCCTGAGGTTTCTGGCAGATTGACGTTTCCTATTTCTGTCAAGCAGGTTTGGGATCTTCGAACTGTTTTCTCAAATTTATTGCGACGATTTGGATTTGATGTTTTTATATGTAATTCTCATTTCGGTGTTTTAATCGTATTATATAATCAACCTTCTCCAATCTACTGTGTGTTTATTCTCCTAAAATTCCGCGGGAGTACTTGTTACTACGGGCGTATTTTTCGCGTAGGCCGTTGATTGTCCATTATTGCAGTCGTCTTGTATGTTTTTCCTTTTTTAGACTCACATTATCTCTTGTCCTGTTTATTTTTTTTTCATGTAGAGCATATTTTTGGAGTGCTAGGTTAACTTTTTCAAAAAAATTAGAAACAAATCTTCTAGTTCAAGATATGGGATGAAGATGAACAATTTAATTAACAGTTCCTTTCTTTCATTTTTATTTAAATCCCAATATGTTCAGGCTTAAATGGGATTGATTGGGACTGGGAAGTGTTCTTTAATGATCAAATGAAGAGAAGTGCGTGCACCTTTTTTTAAAAAATTATTCACTTTTTTGGGACAAAGAAATCAGCGTGCATACTTTTATCTGAGGATATCAAATTGGTATATCGATCCGTTTATTATTGCTATAAGCAGCATAATTCTGTTAAACATTTTCTTATGAAGGTAGCGTGAGTTTCTGAAAATTCAACTCTTGTATGTGTTGAATCTGACTTGGTGTTGGCGTTTGCAAGATCTCATATATTTCCAGTTCCACAAATTTGTCATTTTTTCATTTGGAAATTGCCAACAAAAGGTATCGTTATCTTTTTAGGGACCACGTTTAGCTGCAATACTTTAGGTCCCCTCTAATTATTGGGTTCTACTTTTTGAGATTACTGCTCACACTATATATATATATAGGGCCAACTGGTTGAGTGTCATATAAGTTTATAATTTTCCTTTCTGCAACTTATTATATATTACATCCATACATATGTTACTGACATATATACATACTTATTTTATAGGTTTGTTTATTTTTTAGGTTATGGTTTGTCTAAAACTGCCGAAAGAATTTTTTTAAAAATTATGATTTAGATTTTATTAGATTTAAGTTTGTTAGTCACTACATTCCTTCTTATTTTGATGTTTTTTTTGTTGTCTTTGCAGCCTGGTCCAAGGGATTTGCTTCTTCATTGCTTCATAAAACGAAATCGATCTGCACAAACTTATTTCCTTTACCTTAGTTTGACTAGTGGTAAGCTTCCATAGCTAAAGCAAGTTGCTTGACGCTTTCCTTCTTTATTCTTTGGGCGGTTTATTCGATTAGTTGCTTGATTGTTTGAAAAAGTTAATTAATTGGGTGATTTAACTCATTGCTAGGCGCTACTTTTGTATCTTCCAAGGATAATTACCTCCTTTTGATTTATGTAGTTTATATACAATAACCTTTTATGGGGGGGAAAGGGGGATGGGAGCATAGATAAAGTCGCTGATTTTTGGCCTTTGGTCTTGGCGACAGCACTTGCTGACGATGGAAAGTTTCTTCTTGCTGCCCGTAAGTGTCGACGGGCCACCTGCACTGATTATATAATATCTCTGCATGTTGATGACATGTCCAAGGCAAGTGGCACCTTCGTTGGAAAATTAAGGTAGGGCTCCAGGAGGAGGTGTTTGATGTTGACTGTATGGGTTTTTTTTTTTTTTTTTTTTTTTTTTTAATATTAACTCAAATGTTAATTTATTTTTCTTTTAAAGATCTAATTTTTTAGGAACAAAGTTCACAATCTTTGATGGACAGCCACCTCATGCAGGAGCCAAGCTTTCAAAAAGCCGCTCCTCTAGGCTTGTGGGCCTGAAACAAGTGTCACCTAGAGTTCCTGCCGGCAACTACCCAGTGGCTCACATCTCATATGAGTTGAATGTCTTGGGTTCAAGGTACATATGGGGAGGCTTTACACTTTTTTCCTCCTGAAAGCCATCTGTTATTTTGCTGTATTATTGATAATGAGGAAAGCATATGTAAATAAATAAATCCATCCAATTAAAGAATGCTTGTCATTGATGTCTCTTACATCGTCCTGAATGAGCGAGACACGCACTAATCTGCTTTTGGGTTTGTCTATGTTACTCTAGAGGCTAATATGGTTTGTATTACTGCAGGGGTCCAAGGAGAATGCATTGTGTAATGGATGCTATTCCTGCCTCAGCTATTGAACCAGGAGGGGTGGCTCCAATACAGACTGAATTCTCGCTAAGCCGTATAGACTTTCTTCCATCATTGAGATTTTCCTGGTCAAAATCGAATCATATGGATGATCAACCATCAGGATCTTCAACTGATCAGGAGGATCGGGTCTTAGTGCTTAGGAACAAGGCTGCTCGGTGGCACGAACAGCTCCAATGTTGGTGTTTGAACTTCCATGGGCGAGTGACAATTGCCTCGGTGAAAAACTTTCAGTTAGTCGCTTCACCTGAAAACGGACTTGCTGGACCTGAACATGAAAAGATTATCCTTCAGTTTGGAAAAGTAGGAAAGGATATATTTACGATGGACTACAGATACCCAATCTCAGCGTTTCAAGCTTTTGCCATCTGCCTCAGCAGTTTTGACACAAAGATAGCGTGTGAATGAGACATCTCTGATCAGGTTTTACACATTTAAAATCTAAGCTTTTTAAAACAAAACCTTATATTTGAACCTTTTGGGACATTTGATGGCCATTATTCTGATTCCTTGGTTGTTTTATATGAATTAATAGGATCATGTAAGTGCACGCAACGGGATTTTCTCTCGACAACAAGAGCTTTTCAGTGGCTAGCAGCAGTTAAAGTATCATGAAAAACCCTTGAAGAACTGCATTGGAAGGAAATGGGGGCTAAGCCAGGCTTTGAATTTCACAGCTCATCTCCACTTTTTGGTAACATTTTGTCTAGAGTACACATTGAATATTTATTTTCTTTGATGTAAATAGTAACTCTTTTGTGTACGATCTGATGCTGCACCAAGAGGCCCCATTCCTATATAATAATTGACATACTTTATATGTTCTTGATTTCTATCTTTCATCCATCTGCGTTCGTCTTTGACTGTCTTTGACTTCATTGGATTCTGCCTAGACATCCACCCCTTTGCTAGTGACCATGGCTGAGGGCTGAGGAATCGCCATTTTGTTGATGCGGATTTTGAGGTATGCCATTTTTTCTACAGGGATTTCAGATAATTAAACATGGAGAAACAGAAATATGTGGCTCTGATAATCGTTGCCAAAATTTTGAAACAAATTATATAATTTGAATGAGTGGCGAAAGATGATAATTTCCACTATTTTCATTGTTTTTCTGAGATTGAGCTACACTTGTAGTGGTGGTTGGTTTTGTGTTCAAGTTTCTTTGGCTGGATATTCATATTATTCTTAGGATGAACTTTTTATTGCTAACATTTTGAAGATGGATAGTGTGATCAGTTCATAAAAGGATAGGATGAATTGATGAATGTTAACTGCAAATAGTTTTTCCTACCTGATCTATTTGTTATTACCTCCTTGATTACTATTTGGGGATCAAGATGGCGCCAAGACATATGAACCATGTCGATGGGGATCGAGATGACAAGATGAGATGCGACGTTGCATTGAGAGACCTTGGCTCCGAGCAGAGCAAGGTCGAGCCGAATGACTTGGCCTGGTGTAGAGACAAGTCGTATGTGTCGCAGAAGATTGAACATATACGCACATGCGGCATGGTGGTTGAACAAATTTTATTGATATTTCAGTAAGCACAGTGAAGAGAATATGGAAAATGGGTAAAACAAAAATATAGAAAACAAAATATACAAACATCTTACAAATCTATATAGAAAACTGAAAATTTAAAATGACAAAGGATATACTCTTTACCTCTCCCTTGAATTCAATCGAATTTCTCGGGCTTGACCTTAAAACTGTCCAAAGCTCTACGAAACCGATTTCTGTGAATTAGACTCGAGCAGAGTGTTTATCTTTTCGTAAGTCCTTTGATGAATGACAATCCCCTGCTGTGTGTTTTTTTCGTCTTGGAGCACCAACAGCAGCTGGATCCATCAATGGACCAGACCATGTATGAATGTTTGCTTTCGGGTACGAGAAATTCATGGAGCTAAATGGAACGTCGGGAGGATCATAGATTGGATCGATGTGATGTGAAGTTCCTAGATAGTAGCCAAGTGCTCCATCTTGATGTGGAGGAGGAAACTTTTCGCTCTTGCTCTTTGCATTTGCGTGTGTAATGAGACGTCGCCGCTGTAGAGAGCATCAATATCAGATTTTCGCATCAAAACATGGGGTACAAGCACAGTTCATTGTGTGTGCGCGATGAGATAGGGAAAAAATCGACGAGAATTCATACATCGAGATTGGCCTGAAGCTCAGCATTGGCTTCTGGAACGGGAATTGCACGAACAGCTCGATCGCGTGCCCGTGATTTCTTCACCCCATCTGCATTGCACCTGCCAGCAGCTCTTAGCCTGCACTTACACAGCTCAAAGTCAGAAGAACAAGATAGAACCAACTAATTGCAAGAAATAAGTTGAGTCTTATTTGGTCATCAACCTTCTTGCTTCTTCATCCCGCAGTTTTGCATCCATTTCCTTGCTTGGAGGATACTTGGGGAGGCTGGAAGGCTCACAGGCATATGGCTTGGTAGTGAAAAACTGCAGAATAGAACGAATTTTTTAAAAAATGTCTATAAACACGAGAAATATCGAAGGATCTGCAATCGGTTCTTGAGATTACTAAGTAACAAGTGCATGTGAGTCGAGACAAAACATGATAAAAAGATCCGTATTGATTTGTGGAGGCAGTCTTCACTCTTGGAAGTAATTCGAGACAAATAGGTAACAAGATCATGACGTAGAGATATTAGGATCATCAAATGTCGAATCCTGATCTAAATTTTGGATATGAAGCGTTACATTTTCTTTCTCTTGCTCGAGAGCAGGGGATGGGAATATGGGTCGATGATTATAGGGCAAAAAACTCTATTCCGCATAGATTTAATGGTGAAAACTACTAGCCATGGAGAAAGATGCCAGCTCTCAATTTCGAGCAAGATCAAGATTGCATAATCAAAAGATTCCTACGGTGAAGAGAATTTATTTTGAATATCTCTGTTTCGATCGAAAGGTCTACGGCGCCGAGATGCTATAACATGCCGAGATTCAGAAGCATAACGAAGCAGGGACAAGAAAGAAAACAAGGCAGTAGACGGTTCAGGTGCAAAAATGATAGTTTGTGTATGCTATAGCGAACGTACGAACTGACCTCACTATGTAACGCAGCAGTGGCAGTCAGGCGTTCATCTGGGTCGATTGCAAGAAGTGTCTCGATTAGCGGCAGAGACGATGGCGGGAAGTCTTTAAACGTCTCTGATATGCATCTCTTGTATGAATGTTGAGGCTTGAATATGGTTGCATGAGGCAACCTTGACTTCTTCCAGTATTCCTCTGTAGGAGAGCCACATAACTTGAATATCTTATGTAGCTGCTCGACCTACGAACATGCCAAACGATAATACTCAGCAACGACTAAACTGAATATGCTTGATCCCGACAACTAGTAACGAGCTTTACCTCCGTGCGACCGGGCATGATAGGCTTTCCAGCTAACAACTCAGCTAAAATGCAGCCAGCACTCCAAAGGTCTACACCAACGCCATAATCGGTAGCTCCGAGAAGAAGTTCAGGAGGTCGATACCATAGCGTAACCACCCTACTTGTCATAGGCTGCTTCTGGTTCGGATCAAAGACGGAAGCTAACCCGAAATCAGCTATCCTAAGGATCCCATCATTACCAATCAGAAGATTCGATCCCTTTATATCGCGATGCAGCACGTGACGGTTGTGGCAGTGTTCGAGCCCTGATAACAATTGGTTCATATAACATTTAACCTGCCAAAGTCCATTAGAAGACACAGAACTAAATACCAATGCATCCATTTAAATGAATCAAACCAACGAGTCCGATCTTCACACCTGCGGTTCGGTAAACTTGATCGTTGGGCTCGCAGCAAGTCCAGCCAAATCATGCTCCATGTATTCAAACACAAGATATAAACTACATGACATCCGGGATGTCACTAAACCTTCGAGTTTCACAACATTAGGATGATCCAAACGTCGCAGAATGAGAATTTCTCGAGCCATAAATTTCACACTCTCGGGCTCCAAATTGTCGAAACGAACCTTCTTTAGAGCCACAATCTTCCCTGTCAAAGTATCCCTTGCTTTGTACACATTACTATAAGTTCCTTGCCCAATCTGTTCAACAACATTATATATATATATGTAACTTCGGGAGATTTCCAGTTTTGTTCATAAAAGGAAAGAACATCAATGAAAACGAGAATTTCTCGGACAAAACTTGAATTTATTTCCAGTTTTGTTCATATAAATATGGGGATTTGGAAGAACATCAATGAAAATGGCAGAACAGAGAATGAGAAATCAAATCATACCTTATCAAGCTTCTCGAAAGAATCAGCACGGCGAGGAATCCATCCGTTGATAGCCTCACCGGCAACAGCGGAGAGCCAAGCAGGCCAACCGGCGGCGACTTGCTCGCCATGCACATGTTTCGGCGGATTACTCGATCTCGGATTCGGCCGTCGCCGCCGCTCGCCTCTCGACCTCAAACCTCTATGATCCTCAACCTCCTTCCTGCAGCCACCATTGCGAGCATTAGCATTAGCATTAGCATTAGCCACAGCAACCACCGGTTTAGCAGAAGCCCTAATTTCCTCCGCCGCCGCTGCGGCCTTCGGTCTCTCCTCCTCCTCCGCCTCCGCCTCCGCTCTCTGGACAGGCTTCGCAGAGACCTCTCGGCCAAAAACACACCCCATAGAAACCAAACCACAGCAGAAAAGTCATGGAATCATCATCCCGCCATGACAGTCCGGCAAGGAAATAGAGGCGGATCCAAAACCCTAATAATTTAGGCTTTTGGAAGAGAGGGAAACGGGAATTGGAATGGGAAAGAAAGGAAGTATGAAAGTGAATGATATAAACAGAAAGAATTATGGAGACAAAAGTAAGAGAAAGCAATGATTTGGAGTTGGCCTCGAAAATCTTTAAACAATCACAGCTTCAAAAACACACCAAAAAGTACCCCAACAAACACCACAACAACAACAACAACGACAACAACAACATCAACCCATTTCTCACTATTTTCATCAACCCAAATTCACCTCAAGAACAGAAAATCCTCAAATCTTCACTCACTCAGCTGACTGTGAATCAAGAACATGTGTTTCTTTTTTTTTTCTTTTTTTTTTCATTTATTTCTTTCCTTTCTGGAAGTTTGGAGCTGAGAAAAAAGAAAGAATGTTAGGAGGGAGAGAGAGAGAGGAGCGAGAGAATTTTGTTTTTTTTTTTTTTTTTTTAATTTTAAAATTTCTCTTTCCTTTTCAGTTTTGAACTCTTTTTTATACCAAAGACCAAAAGGTCACAGCCCCACACCAGCTTTAGTGCCACTCCTCTCAGTCAATTATTTATTTATTTATTATTTTTCAGTTCAGCCTATGAGGAGGGGACGCGTGTCAATCATAGAGTTTAGGGGTACGTGGCCATATATGATTGGAGGAAGCATGGGGATTTGGAGTGAGCGGTTGTAGGGGAGCCTAGGAGTGAGAAAACATACTGATTTGACTCGGGTATCTATCCTCATGGATGTGCTGACCTGGCAAAGTACTGTTTACTTTTGCCACGCAGCTCTGACTTTGACCTACCGACGTGGACTTAGGTGGTGGTCTATACTAAAATTTAATATATAATTTAATTTCATAGGTGGCACTTATTTTAACGTATTTAAAAAATGTGAGATGTTTATTTATTTTAATTAAGTATTTATATAAATTTAAAATCTCGTTATTTTTATAAATTTAAAAACTTGCCAAATATGGTTATTTTGGCAAGAATATTTTTTTTTATAGAAATATATCATTAAATTTTATATGATATCGTTATTTTTATATGATATCATTAAATTTTAAGAAACTTGTTAAATGAAGTGTCGTGCTAAAATTGTGATGAAAATAAATGAGATATAAATAAAACTAAAAAATCATTAAGTGAAATATAATACAAGTCTATCATAGTTGTTTTTGTGTGCTCGTTGTTAGTTTAAATAAAATTTAGTTCTCGAACTTCCCGTTTACTTCGGCCCCAAAAAGTGAACGTTTTAATCCCTATATTGTCAACAAGTGAAGTGTAGAGAGATTCAAACCTTTGACCTATTTACTCGACAGTGTATATCATACCTAATTGAATTATGGTATGAATAGAAATTTAAATATAAGAACAAACGACCCGACACAAAAGAAAAGAAAAGAAAAGAATAAGTAACCTAAAAATGCCCTAAAGAGGTAATAATTAGAACTACATTCCATATACTCCTAGATAAGAATCATCAAAGCGAATGAATGCCCAATTTTTATGGGATTAAAACAAAGAACCATTCTTTATTTCTCAATCATTGTGTCTATTCACTGTTCATCCGACACAAATCAATTTGAATTCCTCAAACAAGAATGGCACTAGACCCTAACAGGCTATAAACATCAAGGACAAGAACACGGTTAAAAGGTCGGTGAGCCTATGTAGACATTCATCCGAGCATCCTGAAAAAAGAAGTTGTTCGAGTACGAACCACGGTTACAACGTTATTAGCTTTCAACTCCAATGATTAGCTAATACTTGAACAAAAATGAAGTAAAAGGTAGTTGTTTTTCCAAGGGGACAGGTTTGAGTAAGGATTAATTTAACCGAATCTTGTGTCGGAAAATCAGGACCTCCGTCGTCGTTTTCAACCATTGAAGAAGATAGGAAAAACTTGAAGGCAAGAGAAGTAGAGGGTGGGGGTTAGGTACAATGTCAACCCCTTCTGGTTTTTTGATTGTTCCATGTGAGGCTATGCTATGCCAATGGCCAAATAGAGCATCTGATATAGATTGAGACAAGCTTTGATTCCAAGATGCTCTGATTTCCACCATTGGACGGTATTTTCTCCTAGAAAGATCAACAGTACAGCTGTGAGATCCCACGTCAGGTTGGAGAGGGGAATAAAACATTCCTTATAAGGTGTGGAAGCTTCTACCTAGTAGACACGTTTTAAAATCGGGAGATTGACGACAATACGTAACGAGCTAAAGCGGACAATATCTACTAGTGGCGAGCTCTAAGTTGTTACAAATGGTATCAGAGCCAGACACTGGGCGGTGTGCTAGTGAGAATGTTGGTCCCTAAGAGAGTGGACTGTGAGATCCCACATCAGTTGGAGAGGAGAACGAAACATACCTTATAAGAGTGTGGAAGTCTCTCCCTTGTAGACGCGTTAAAAAACCATGAGGCTAACGGCGATACGTAACAGGCTAAAGCGGACAATATCTACTAGCAGTGAGCTTAGACTATTACAAATGGTATGATAGACTAGGCGGTGTGCTAGCAAGAATGCTGGGTCCCCAAGGGGAGTGGATTATGAGATCTCACATCGATTGGAAAGGGAAACAAAACATTTCTTATAAGGGTGTAGAAACCTCTCTCTAGCAGACGCATTTTAAAACCGTGAGGCCGACGACAATACATAAAGAGCTAAAGTGGACTATATCTACTAGTAGAGAGCTTGGACTGTTACAATAGCACTACTGTGATTTATCAATAGGCAAAGAGAGAATTTCAGGAGGTCTAAATGTATGAAACTCGAGAGATAATGTACTAAAAGCTTTGGTTCGAGTCATTCGACTGTAGTTTTAGACCCTTAATCGTCGTTACTTAGCTTGCCTGCCTCTCAAATCAAAGGCCAACAACAGTTTCAAGGGCATCTTGTGTCTGAAAAACATAAGAAGATTGTGTTCGGTTTACACTTTCCATCACCGTGTCGATACTTATGGCTACGGTTAAGACAACAATGATGGAAGCTACTAAGCAACTGCAAAATGTTTCATAATTTTCTCCCCACACTAGCTTTCATTCAGAAAAATGAAGGATTGAAGAATAATCAACTATGGAATGAAAACATAATCAAACACTTGAAGCAACAATCAATTAGGAAGATACCAAAAAAATGACTATCTATCATGACACAGCATGCTCAGCAGAAGATCATTATGGAGCAAAAATATATGGCACAATTCATTGCATAATGATATTGTTTTGAAGAGTAATGGTGACAATTTACAGCCCTTCACACATGCATATTAGGTGGAAAAAACATGATAAGAACTCAAGAAACAGTGTAGATTCGGATAAAGAAACGACACACCTTCATCACGTGCACCGTCCATCTCAAACTTGCAAGTCCAACGAGCTGTTACTTTGCAGAACATATCAAAAAATTGTCTGTTCACCTAATTCTTGACCAGCCATCCCTTCCCTAAGGACCCTTTCAAAGAAGTCTTCCAATGTGTCATTCCCATAACTTGGTGTTTTTTCGGCACTGTACTCTCCGGTTTCAGGATCTAAGATCAACATACTCTCAGCTGCATAATATCTCCCAATTTTCCCGTACTCCGCTGCATCTTCCATGGCGGGAAAGAATTTAGCAAGGAAATCAAGAATTCCAATGGCAAAATCCATAATCCCAATTGGTACTTTCAAGAAATTTGGTTCTTTCCCCAACAGCCTAAACAAGATCTCGCCCTGTTCTAACGGAGTCAACGCGTTCCCCGGGCCACCAATCGGCAAAACCTGATTGATTTTATCTTCACTCAACACACAATCAGCAATAAAAGAAGCCAAATCCTGCTCACTGATTGGCTTACAGGAACACAACTTCCCATCCCCAAACATCACATATGGCTTACCATCTTTCACCAACTCAACTTGACCTCCTAAGCTCTTAAAGAAGGCAGTTGGCCTCACAATGCTATAACTAAATCCACTATCTTCTTTACCTGCTTCTTCCTTAAGCTCAGCTTCAAATTTGAGCTTAGCACGCTGGAATTCAAGAAGGGGTTTCTGCACACAAATTGCAGAAAGCAACACAAAATGAGAAGCCCCACGGTTTCTTCCAGCTACTAAACTGTTCTTTGTGGCCTCATAATCGATCTTCCATGAGTCCTTTATGCCGCCAGTTCGGCTAGCAAGGCAAGAAACCACAACATCAATAGGGATATCCAAATCCCTTAAAGATTTCTCCAAAGCATCCAAACGGGTTACATCTGAAAAGCAAATATTAGCTCCTTTCAACTCATTAGAAGTTTGTTCCTTACTGTTTCTACCTCTAATTCCACTCTTCTCCCTAGCAATAGCAATGACATTGAACCCTCTATTAACCAGCTCCTTAACCACAAAATTCCCAATATACCCTGTAGAACCCACCACCAAAACGTTAATATCTTTAGGGTTTTTGGTCCTAAACGAAGATTGGGTGGATTCAATGACAGGGGTCGAAGAAGCTACAATGGGGTACCACCGTCTATCCCTATTGGATTTGAAGTTCTCTGATAAATGTAAAGAAGAAGATCGAAAAGAGAAAGAGAATGAACTCACCGGATTCCGATGGACAAAATGAGAAGAAAGACGGGTTGAGTTGGCTGTATTCGCCGGCGAAAGAAGGTTGAATCCGCCGCCGGCGGAGGAGCAAAGGAGCATAGTTTTTGAAGGTAGAACCGGCGGTGGAAATGGCTGAGTGGGCTGAAGCTTAGGATCAAGTCGGCGAAATTGAGGAGCAGTGAAAGAGAGAAGAAAGTATGATGAAAATGTGAGGCTGGAATTTTTGTGAGTCCCATTTCGTTGATGTGTTTGTGAATTGTTTCGTTGTGTAAGATCTTGACGATAAGGGATAATGGAATAGATAGATCTCTATTTCTCTTTATCTTTTCTTCATGGCTCTGTTTTAAAAAAAGTAAAAAAGTTTTGTTCCTTCTTGGCTTATTATCAGTAATTGTATTAAGAAAAATAATAGATATTTAAATTTTAAAATACAATTATACTAAAGGAAGGAAAAACTATGAGACCACTCCAAAGGTTTTTTCGTTATTGCTTATTCAAAGACAGACAAGTTTTTGACGATCTAAATAAAGAAAAAGATAAATTTCAATCAAATTTATTACCTGACCCTATTCTATTAATAAAATATATAAAAAATAAAAAATAAAATGACAAATAAAGTTTTGATAATTAGATTTAAATTTTAAACCATTATTCAAAATGTGTAATAATGTAAATATTTATAGTTTAAAATATTAGTTGGAGTTAACACTAAATATTAGGTTCAAGCTTCCTTTATGTTAAAAAAATGTAAAATTATAAAATATTACATAATACATATTTTAGTTTAACAAAAAGAAAAGAAGTTAATAACATTTATAACCTCAAAAACTATATTAATGTTATAATCTTTTTAAATATAATTCTACATTCTAAAATTTAAAATTCAAAATCTAGATATTTAGTTCATAAAATTTTGAGAAAAAAAAAGTTTTCAAAAATAAAATTATATTCATGAACTCGATCAATCTAAAAACATAAAACATAAAATAGCACAAACTTGAATGTTGAAGAGTTAAACAACACAAAACATAAAATAGCACAAACTTGAATGTTGAAGAGTTACACGAACAAGATAGAAAAGTAGCGTGGTAGCTATGGAATATACTATTAGTATTACGTGACCTAAGATTGTCAGAAATCCAATACTTGAGAGCCAAAAGCTCCTAATAATTTACAAAATATACCAATTATAAATCAAACCTGAATGGGCAACAAGTGTTTAGCATTTGGGAATCTGCAGACATAAATCTATAAGCAATTATTTGAAATATATGAAGCAACTATTAATTAGCACATAGATCATTGCTGCAGAATGCTTACTTAGGAGATGCAAAGGGTGTTTTTATGTGCTTTCCTGAGATCAGTTACTGGCAAAAGGCTCACCTACAGATACCTGAACTCGAAGCACCTCGTTAACAGCGCCCCGGCTAAGCACCTCGAGAACGTCTTCCCCTTCTTCTGCTACGAGTGCTGCTAGAGAGACTCGACGAGTTTGTTGCTCGTCTCTCATACGGAAGCCATAAAACCATCTTCCCAGCTTCCACCATTTCACGCTTACTTGCCTCTCTGAGATCTTGCATCTTTCAAGTGCTTCTATGATTTCATTCCCCTGCCACAAGTTGAATATCAACTCAACAATTTCAGACGCATCATATACAAAAGAAGCAGGAATCCTAATTCTCCTATAATACAGTCTTTCATTTGTACATCTTTTTAGTTTTATCACTCAAAAACTTTTTAACCGCTAAGCTCTTCAGTTTAAATCCATAAAACTGTAACAGCCCACGCCTACTGCTAGCAAATATTATTCTTTTTTAGAATTCTCTTTCGAGCTTCCCCTCAGGGTTTTTAAAACGCATCTATTAGAGAGAGGTTTCCACACTCTTACAAATAATGTTTTGTTCCCCTCTCCAAACGATGTGGGACCTCACTTTAAAAACTTTGAGGGGAAGCTCGAAAGGAAAAATCCAAAGAGGACAATATCTGCTAGCGGTTGATTGTTACAAAAATAGAACATTTGAAGATTTAAGGGATCAAAACGGAATGAGTATAAAAGTTCGTGACTAAAATGTGATTTAAACCTACAAATGATTGAACTAAAATGGCAAAAGCAGGACATACAGGAACTTGAAGCCAACTTTGACAGTAGTGTAAGCCAACCAAGTTCAGCAGCTCATTCAGGTGAGGTTTGAAGAGCACCATTTGAGCATCTATAAAACTAAGCTTCAAATCCCACAAGCCTACAATTGTCCTGAGATAGTCTCCACCCTCAATTGGGGAAGAAGGAGAGTATTGTTCTATAAACTTTACCGCTGCTTGGGCTCGCCTTGATATCTCAATATGCCTCTGGATGTAAAAGCTTTTCCATCCCTGGAAGACGTTTCATTTGTTTTTTAACGAACAGAAATCTCATAACGGATATAAGAACAAAGACTCGGATAAATATCCAACAATAGTTCAACTCAAGATAAACATCCAATATATGTTTCACTAAGAAAACCAACCATTTCAGAAAGGATGGTGAAAATTCGAAAGGGCCCATTCAACTACAGAACAAATAAGGTATCAAAAAACACAAAGAACAAATAAATTCACGAATGAGAATAACAGAACTTAAGTTCTAAATCAACCTGAAATCCTTAACACGTTTCCCTAAGCTGTTCAATCATTTCAATAGGGAAGGAGAAACATCAAAGGAGCTAATTCAACAACATTTGCAATGCGACAAAGAAAGAAGAAAACAAGCTTTCAAATCTCTGGATTGATTTCAAAATCAAAGATCCTTAACACCATTATGGGAATGATCATCAAAAGATCAACATAAGCAATAATAGGCTAAGATTTAATATCCTACGAGTTTTCGTTGGAAATACATTACAATCGAACAGTGTCTGTATATGGCCTAAACATTCATGAATTAGAAGAACAGATACTTGCGTTCAACTCTAGATAAATATCCAATGTACGTTTCACAAAATAATAAAACCATTTCAGATAGGGGCAGGGGAAATTCCAAAGGCGCATTAGCTACACTTGAATTAAGAGGCGGAAATAACAAAAGAACCTTCCAAATCTCTCAATCGATTCCAAGAAACCTAAATATACTAAACAAGTCAAATTTCCATCCAATATGAGGAACAATTTACTAAATTAAGAAGAGATAAAGATAATGGAAATAGCACCATGGAGATAGGCGATTGTGCGAGAGTTGATGAAGAAGAACCAGTAGACGAAGCAACATTGATATAAGGCCATCTTTCTCGAGTGAGAGATTCCCATAGGTAATCGGAATCGCAGAGTTGCTTACAAAATCGCGAGCAACAGCCCAAAGAACAAATGTCCGATGCCTTCGTACCGATTCGCATCACATCCCCAAATTCCAGAGAGATAGATAAATTAATCCACAGACATTATTACAGTAAGATAAAAAAAGGGAACAGAATCACACAAAACTCCATTGGAACCTGAAGCGAAGAAGCAATCTTCAAGGCAGCATCAATGGGAAGAAGGTGCAAACCCATGGATTCAATCCCTAACCGAGCTTGCTTCGGGACGGAGTATGCTGGAGTCGAGAACTGGGGACGGAGGCTTCGACAATGGCAAAAATATTTGTAGTGGTACGTAGTAGATATTTAATTGACACGTCATTTACATATTATATTATTTTATTTCAATAGTCTCTTGTCATTATTAATTAAATATTTATATTATAATATTTTGTCTTTTTTCTCTTTTATAATAAAGGTTAAATAGAGATGATAAGAAAACATTTCTACAATTGGTAGTAAAAAATTTACCCACCATAGACACGTGGTGGGTCATGCATTAAATTTTCACGCGTAATTTATTTTTTAAAAAATATTATTTTTATTTATATAAATTTTCACGAGACATATATACTTCTATTTATTTTTGTAGGACGAGGATAAGGAATCTCACCAATTTTTTCGGAGAATATTTTTCTTTTTTTATATATATTTTCTAAATATTAATTTTAAATGATTTTAATATACAATTTTCGTGTAAGTTTAATAATATTTTATAAGCGAGGTAAACCTAATTTATTATATATAAAAAAAATATTTTTATATATAATAAATTTGTTTTATACCTTAATTTTGATATATATAAAATTTATTATTATTATTATTGGTGAGAAATATGAGGAACTATAATTAACACATATTTTATAAAAAATAAAAATAACAACCAAATTCGAATCCAACCATCTAATATACAACACAATAATATAAAAATCCCACTTCAAATTCAACGCCACAAAGCAAACACATTTACGAGTAAAATCCTGAAGCAGTAACAAACACGCGCGGTAACAAAGGCCTGAGAAGAGGTGATTGAATTCTACTTTCGAATTCGCGCGTGGAGAGATATAATGGAGATCCAAATTAGCAACACCAACACGACGGAGGCGAAAAGTGACGCCGCCAAAGCGCCGCCGATGTGGCGGCAGAATTTGTCGAATGCGTAGCACACTTTGTCCCATCGCACGTGCGAGTTTCCTTTTAATCCTATGTATGCGACTCCACCTGCAGCCCCTGTGGCTGAGGCTACCACCCCCAATATCAACTGCACACATTTCCAAATAAATTTATACATTAAAGTGATAATATATTAGTTTTAAAATTAAATTACGTCTAAAATAGTTATAATTAAAATATTTAAATTAACCACCGTTACTTAACGGTGAGTAGTAGAGAGAGAAATTACCGTATCCCAGACGGCAAAATGAAGCAAGAACTTGGTAGAGAGATTGGGTTTAGCAATGACGGAAACGGAGGCGAGGGCCGTAACGAGACCGTAAAGTGCCGTCACCGATAATGCAGCCACGAAATATCTGTATATTTTAATTCCGTACCATTAATTTCAGTTTTTAAATGCATTTAAAACAATTTAATTAAATAAATTAACTAAAAATGACAAAAGTAAATAAATAAATGAATATCAAGCTGAATAATTATAAATAATATTGGTTGAACATTAAAAAAAAAACCTTATATTTAGTTATTTAAGTTAATTTTTTAACAAAATTGAATAAATAATAATAAAAATAATATTTTTCATGAATATAAATATGTCTTTAATAAATAGATTAATTTTAAAAATTTATTAGTATTTTTTTTTATATAACTTTTGTGATTATAATATATGGTTCATCGTGTTGGATTACTAATAGGTTTAACTATTTTCGTCACCATACAACTTTTCGAGAGTCTTTATTTATATTATTAAACGTCCGAGTGACATATAATATTATAATATTTAGCTTGCAAACAATCAATTATAATATTGAGTAATTATATTATTTCAAAATTATTTTTCTTAATATATATTTATTTTTTTTCTAAATTATTTAGAGTTTCATTTTTTATAGGTTGCAATAAATTACTTTAAATATATATATATATATTAGTCCTTGATAAATATCATATTAGGTTTATATAATTTCAAATATTGAAATTTTTATTTAAATAGGAAAAAAAAGAGAAAAAAACTCACATGAAGGCAGGGGAGTGGTCAAACTTGGCCTGGACAGGGAAGCCCGGAGGGACTCCCCGGAGCTTACCGACGACGGTTTGTTTACTGGTGACGATGACCACCACACTCGACACCGCCGCCGCAAAAAGCACAAATCTCAGCCCGAAATCGACCAGAGACAAATTCACTCCCCCACGGGGAGCGGTAGAGGGCGGAGGCAGCGGCGCCTCCTTGGCAGATTCCGGCTCGGCTGAGGCCATTATGGGGAAAAGGAATGGAATTAGTTTGAAAAAATAAAAATTTGGGTGTATTGTGTGTATATATATAGTCATTAGGATTTGAGAAATGGATTAATTTGGTTGGAGTTTCCTGCACGCCAAGTGAAATGTGGACGCCGATTTTTTTATTGTATCATTCTTTAAATTATAAAAAATAAAAAATAAAAAATTATTTCCAAACATATACTACTACCTTCAAATTAATAATCTTATTATACTAAAACTACTCTTTTTAAATATCATAATTTAAAAAATAAAAAAAAATTGTTAGGTATTACTAAATTTTTAAAATTTTATGAATATTTTTAAATATTTTTTAAAAAGCTTAAAATACAAATTTAGAAACATTTTAGATAATTTAGACAATATTTTAAGGTTCAAAATTGTCAAATTTTGTGTCTGAAACTAGGAAATTTCTGACATCCATTTTGTGATTAAATGTATAATATAGTCAGATTTTTTGGATTTTTTATTTTTTATTTTTTTAAAAGAAAGTCCAATGAGAGAGAAAGAGAGATGTTAGAGCCTCGTTCGATTAGGAGTAAAGCATCTTAAGGTTGACATATCTCATTGGAGATAGAGGAACATTAGTAACCAAAATAGCTTTCTTCAAAGCTATTTCTTGTCCCGTCTCTTGTCTCTCTCATTCTAACTTCTGTATGTTTTTTGATAATAGGCAGATTCTCGAGAATTCTGACCCATATTTTACTATTTCTTTAAAATTATCCGCTCATAGCACGATGAAATCCTCAGATTATAGTTCTATGCGTAGCTTCAATCGCTTTTAGATTTATTTTTTTTTTTTTTTTTTTTTTGAATTCTTACCAAAGCAAATAAATAATTAAAGTAAGTTTTATTGACCAAATTTCCCCAACTTTAATTAAAAAATATAAAATTAATTAAAATTATTTCATATTAATTAATGACAGTGAGATAATCATAAAATGATTGACAATATCCTCACAACGAAGCACCTCTTTGACGGTTGGTGGTAGGTTTTTCTTTTTGTTGAATAAATTGAATAAAATAAAATAAAATAGAATAAGTGGGAAAGGAAAGGAAAAATTATATTAAAATCAAAGTATTGTTTTACAAGTAATTATAATTTGAAAATTATATTTGATTTATCCTCTAAATAAAATTATTTTAATTATCTATAATTTTTTTTTCTTTTATCTTATTTTCATTACCTTCAAGTCAAAACCTGATCACCTACGGCAACTACCATTGAAATTACGTGTTATTTATTTATTTATTTATTAATTATTATTTCAATTGTAAAATTTAAAATAAAAAATTAAGATTTTGTAAAGGATTTTTTTTTGGAATATATAGTATTTAAATTCTTAATATCTATTAAGTTTATTTCTCAATCTATATCTTTTTTAATTATTGCCACTAACTTACAAGTTCTTTCAAAACAACATTAAATATATAATTAATTTAATTAAAAATATTCGATCGTGTTTTTTTTTTTTTTAATTTGTAGAAATTTTTATAATAAATATCGTGTATAATTTTAGGTACAATTTGATAGAATTAGAAGAGAGAATTAGTGTCGGGTAGAAACGATGTCATTTGCAGAGGAGGAATGTGCGCCTACAATGGTAGCTCTTCCGTGTAGGTGCGTGGTGTGTCATGATCATCCCTTCTTAAAGCATATTGACTATTATCAAATGAAACTCTAATTCTGGTAGAAGTTCTAGAAACGGCTTCAGTCTTCGGCTCACCAAATCGATCAATTAAAAGGGGTCGGTTCATTCATCCTAGTTTAATAGTAGTCGAGAAACCGATCGAGCGTATGTAATCAAGGTTATATGTTTGATCCGTATCGTTAAAAAATAATATATTTTATTATTTGTATATGACACGTAAGCATCTGTGAAATACTTCTCTCTCTGTCTCCCATTCAATTATTGGGTGCCTGCCATTCCTCTCAATTTAATGCAACCAAAGTGAAATTCAAATGGAGCTCTTCAACCCTATCATAAACGACAAGGGACTGTTTGACAAGCTATCTGACAGTCCTCTGACATATTTTTTTTTCCTTAAAAAATTAATATATTAATTAAATTATCTATTAAATAATATGCAAATCGTCAATCATTTTACATCAATAAATCTTATTGGTTAAATCAATTAATAATTTTATTTTATACTTTTCAAGCATATATATAATTACCAAACTACCCCTAATGAGGAAGTGGGGCCCAATGCGAGGGTTTCCATTAGTTTCGGAGGGATTTTTTGTTTCCACAAATACCCCCATTATTAAGAATTGAACTACCTCTCTGTTAATTCATTAATTCATTAAATATATATATATGTATATATCTATATATAGATATATACATATATATATATATAGAGAGAGAGAGAGAGAATGGAGGTGGGGAGGAGATCAAGAGTGAGAATGGAAGATGAGAGGAAAGAGGAGAAGAAAATGGGCAGTAAAATTGAAATGGTTTTTAGGGTTTTGGGATTTGTGTTGAGTTTTGTGGCAGCCATTGTTGTGGGACTCGACGAACAAACCACCGTTCTTCCTCTTACGCTCTCTCCCGACCTCCCTCCTCTCGATTTTACTCTCACCGCTAAATGGTATTACTTATCTACTCTCGGGTAAGCTTCTCTCTCGAGAATTCGAACATCTACTTGTTTTTTCCCTTTTGAGTTTAATTTCACGTGGGTAGAGATTCGAACAGTCGATCTAGCTGTAACTAGTTCAAATATGTCTATAGAAGTGATTTTTAGTCAATTTTTTTTTAATAATTTAATGATTTAAAGTATATTATATTTTTTTTAGGTATCTTTTGGCGACAAATATAATAGCATGTTCGTATTGCTTCATATCGTTGTTCTTTTTGTTAAAAGACACGAGTAACGACAACATCTTAGTCTTATTGGTCATCATTCTCGACACGGTCATGGTGGCACTGCTCTTCTCCAGTAGCGGAGCTGCAGCGGCGGTCGGAGTCATCGCTTACCTCGGAAACTCACACGTGCAATGGAATAAAGTGTGTGACATATATGGTAGATTTTGCATACAAGTGGCAGCCTCTACTGTGCTCTCTCTTGCTGGGGCCGTAGTATTTATGTTGCTAGTTGTGTTGGCTACTGTGGGCCTCCAGAAAAGGCCCAGTTAAATGGGCCGAAACTTGGGCCTATTTTAAGCTTCTTCACAGTACATCTAAATGGGCTTTGGCTTTGTTTCTAAATTTCCTCACGGCCCATTTTAAAGATAATTGGGCTTATTTATAACGCTTGTAGCAGCCGAACTATTTATGTAAAATATTTTATTTACCCCTCCCTCTTAAACGGAAGTAAATGATAATTTTAAAACCTGATGACTAAATTTGTAATTTAATATTTACGCGAAATTGTTAGTCCATGAGATTTGTATTAAATAAATATCTAAATTTTAAAAAAGTTTCTAATATGTTCAATAAATTTTTTAATTTTAAAAATATGATCAATAAATTTATACATTGACTTTTAAACTATTTCCCATTTTATAATTACTTTAAAAAAAATGATAATATATTATAAATTTATAACTTTTATTGGTAAAATTTTATATATAGAATCACCCATTTAAAAGGATATGGATTGAATTTTTAGAAAACTGAACAATTAAGGTTGACTTACAAGTTGACATTTTTTTGTCGGGTCAACCCGATGAACCAAAAAGTAGGGCTACGTTCCAACCTAACCTCGTTTATAATCAATATTAGTGATGCATTGTGACTAATGAAATTTTATATTAAATTTTTATGAGATTTTGGTTATTAATATTACGTGCATTATGGATAAGTATGTTTTTTTAAAAAATTATTAAAAAAATTAATTCGACAATTCAACTAAATTAAAAAAAAAAAAAAAGTTAGGATGAGTTGTGAACTCTATTTGAATTGTTCGGTTGTCGACCTATTCAGTTTGAAATTTCGAGTTAGTTCGAAAGATTTTTTAAATTCAACCTCGGTACACCTCTCACATTCGTAAATTTTAAAATATAAGAACTAAATTATAATTTCTAGAAAGTATGGGGACATTCGTAAATTTTAAAATATAAGAGCTAAATTACCATTTCTAGAAAGTACGAGACATTAGTAAATTAGTAAATATAAGAGCTAAATTATAATTTCTAGAAAGCATGGGCACATTCGTAATTTTTTAAAATGTAAGAGCTAAATTATAATTTTTAGAAAGTATGGGGATATTAGTAAATTTTAAAATATAAGGGTGTAAAGAAAGAATGGGGAATAAATTGTGATAAAATAAAAAATGAAGGACGAAAATGAAAACAGAAAAAAGTACAATGAACAAACAGAGAATTGGCGAGTCGAAACTGTAAAATTGGGAGTTGGAATTTTCAACCATAATCTCTTTCTTCGCTCTGCAAAATATTGTTCTAACTGCAACGCATTTCTTCTTCCACTTCAGACCAATCTCTCTCTCTCTCACGCACATCCTGCAACCCTTTTCATTGCTGCATAAAAGCCCTCATCAATGGCAGAATAAAGGGAGAACGAACAAGAAGACGGCGGGAAGAAGATTGGCAACCTTCTATTTGTAGTAATGGAGGCATGCACCGACTCTGTGGTTTCACTTTTGCCTCACATATTGCCGGTGCATCAGTCTGAAGCTGCTGAAAACAAGGCTTCGACCTCAAGAAAGCGTTGGAGAGCTCTGGAAGCCAACGGCGGTGAACAGAGGAAGGGGAGAGAGAAGAGGAAGGAGATGAGTGAGAGTTTCGATGTTCTTCAATCTCTCGTCCCGAATCTCTCTCCTAAGGTTAGTGGATTTGATTCTCGCTGTAGTGTATAATCTGGCTACTTCTACATTTTTATAATCCAGTTTTGGTGCTGAAATAATCAGGCTACGAGGGAGACTATTGTTTCAGAGACGATCCAGTTCATCGAGGATCTACAGAAGCAGTTGATGAGGCTGGAAATGGAGAAGAAACCATTGGAATCGGTGACGATGCTTCCTAGTACGAACTCGGATTCACCAGGAGGCGACGGTGGCGACGGCGGCGTCATCGTCTCGGTCTCCAGCAACATCGTGTTGTTTGGGATTATTTTTGCTTCTGTTCGACGAGGTATGGTGACACGGATTTTAATGGCGTTTGAAAGACACCAGGCTGAAGTTCTAGCAGCGAATGTTGCAGTTAGCCATGGCAATTTAACTTTAACTGTCACAGCTTCTGTACATGGTTACGTAGAGAACACCATAGAGCAGATTAGAAACGATATCCTAAGCTTAAAGAAGTAATAAACTTCCATTGTTCACGAGATTCTTGCCTTCTTATTTACTACGAGAGGGATGCTTAATGCTTCTACAGAACTAGAATTTGAAAGAATATAATACCATGGTCATATATATTTTGGATTTTGCTTCAAAATCATGTTATTGAATAATAATTAACACCGTATTCTACATCTTTTGATTCTAAATATAACTTTCATCTGGCAAGAAAGCATCCCTGCTCTCTCTACGCTGTTCCTTTTTTGTTCAACAATTGTAGAGTAAAGATCGATCAATTGATCTTTACGATGATCATTGGTGCATTAGTGTCCTATCTACCGAGCTAGCTTGAATTGAATTGAGAAATTTTTAACAAAGGGGTTGATATTTTGCTTGTATGAAACCAAATTATGAATTTGGTCATAAAAATATGTTGTTGCAAGAGATTCCACAGACCCACAGGAGGAAGCACTGTCTAATGGTTAGGAATCAGCACAGTCAACAGGAGCAAAGGAAACAACTTGAGCTTCAAGGTCATACCCAACATGGCAGTTTTGCAGCTGAAAGTTCCCTAATATAGAGACTGGAGATCCAGAGCGCAGAAGGGCAAGGCAGATAATTCCATCATCCTCTATCTTCACAAAGGTACTTTCTACATTAAGAATTAATTCTGCACCATCAAAATGAACTGTAACACCTGGAAATGTCTCCATATCATTTGCATTTGCTGCAAAACACAACTCGAATCTGTTCCTAGGGTCCTCTTTTTTCTGCTGTAGATCTGGTAGTGTAATGAATTTAGCTAGCAAACGATCAAATGCATCTGTTTCAAGACTTGAGTATGTTGTTCCTGAATCTATGATCCACCCATCTCTGACATCATATACATCAAAAACTCCTTCCAAGTTGGGATCATCAGCGCCGACGCTGATTCCGAGAACCTTCACATAATAAGCATCTGAATTGGGATATAACAGAGGAGTTTGACCTCCAGAAGTCACAGGTAATGATCCGAAATACATTTTACTTGTTGAGCCTAAATTGAAAGGAACTAAGCAGTAGGAGAATTTCTTGATACCCAATTGAGAAATTAATGACAGGGGTGTTTGGTTCAATCCCACACTGCCCATGTAACTCTGCATGCCTCCTGTTAAAGGAGCTTCTGAACAGCCAAAGTTCAAATAGCCAACATCCACATGTTTACCATCTGTGGTATCAAAACTAAAACTATCAGATGAAAGATTTCCACTTGTTTCAGAGTTATCTTCATACACTAATCTATATTTGCACGATCTGTCTGATGAATTGCAGGTCTGGAAGCCAGTTAAGGAATTGCAAACGTTAGAGCCACATGGCTCCATCTCATAGGTGAAGGATTTGGAAGGGAGGAACTTGGTGAAGGGGCCTTTTTCTGGCTCACATTGGCTATTGCAGTCTGAGCATTGCACCCAAATAAGACCATTTGACGTGTCTGCAAATCCCATCACTTGACTTGGAGGATTTCCAATGTTGAAACTCATAAGGTATTCACCACCTTCATGAACCAATGTGGGTGAGAGTGACAAATCATTGTCTAATGTATCTTTTGATAACATGTTGTAATACAGATAATTCAGCCGAGACCTAGAACGATGAATGGTCGCCTCGATCCATGCAGTGTACGACATGACATGATCGTAAAATGGTGATAATGGTGAGTCGCGGTGAATCAAACGTGCAGTGAAGCCAACTTCAGTCGGTACCATATGTCTTGCCGTTGATTCAAGGATGGTAAACGAAAGGAAGAACATCATGCTTCCAAAACAATGGTTGGGACTCATTTCAGTATCCTAAACTCAAATCATTCCACTAAGTTTACGCTTTCTATCAAGAACAATCTTTCATTTCCTTATGTTAGTTTGGGGTAAGGGGAGACAGTTTGTTAGGTCACACCAATGGGGATCTGAGTTTGTGCAGCTGTAAAAATTCAGGTGGTTCATGATCTTCTTGTGTTTTCCATGTGCAGAGCGTCAAGAACCACGACCCTCCACAATGGTATAATATCGTCTACTTTGAGCATAAGCTCTCATGACTTTGCTTTGGACTTTCCCAAAAGGCCTCATACCAATGGAGATGTATTCCTTACTTATAAAATCCATGATCATTCTTTAAATTAGCCAACGTGGGACTCCCTCCCATCAATCCTCAATACAGAGAACAGAAGAAATGGAGGAAGAACTACCAGCGATTTGATTTGATCGTTTCTGCCAGAGGTAACAACAATAATGCCATTGAATATCTCTTTCAATTAAAAAAAAATTAAAATTTAGTAACTGATAGTAATGTTATGCCTAAAATTCTACTGATTCAAAACTAAACAGGAGCTGCAGCATCAAGGAGCAGAGCTAGAGAATTTGCTAAAACTCAAAAAACAGTAAAGATCTTCGTTCTTGCCATCTTTCCCGCTTATTGTATTTTTAATGAAAGCTCAGTTTCTGATAAGAAAAATCATTCATGCTTATCTCAGGTGTCATCCAAGTCTCTTGTAACACAGCGTCTCAATGTCTCAATGTCCTGAAAAAGAAGGGTTCTTTTGAACTCCCAACTGGGTACGTTCTTCACTGGTTTAATCCAATCATATTTACGTTCATCTCTACGCCAACATTTTGTAGATTACTGAGCATGGTAGGAATATAAGATTTAAGAGCTGAAACTTGTGTCTATTTAATCTTTGAACTATGGTTTTGGACTTTCTAATTTGCAGATTGACCTGTTTTGGAATATTAGTTCATTGTTATATTCGTAGAATTTGATCTTGAGATCAATATTTTAAATCTTGATTCTAGCCACATACCCCTCACAATTTATCTCTAGAATTTGTACATGCATTGAATGAATTGAATAGGCGGGTAGACACAAACAAGAAAACCTAGAATTAATAGATAACAAAATTGAAAATTTTAAAGACTTATATTAAACACAAAATTAAAATTTTAGGAATCTATCAAATACTTTTTAAAGTTTCGAAGGTAAAAGATATCAACAACATATAATTTAACATTCATGTAAAGAAATTG